TTATTGAATGTGTTAAGGCCATTATATTTTATTAGCCAACTCTATAAAGTGATCTAGTTAAGATAAATATGGCTAATGATATATTTGTCATGAAAGGTATATTGTCTAGAAACCAACAATAATTTTAATTTGTTGAAGGTGCCAAATTATAATCATGGAAACTAAAGAAAAGTAATCGTCAAACGTTATTTAAAAGTGTCATGGTCCTCATCTGTGAGCACATCGTATCATTCCTGTTTCTTTCTCTTTATCCCATGAGAAGAGAAAATCCAGATCAAACCTAAGGTGCTCTACAGAGGAAAGATCAGAGACCAACTCAGGTTACTTATTCATTGTTCCCAATGTTTAATCCTTCAGGTACGCTTCCGCTTAATGTGCTAAGGGTATTGGGAACTGCTTTCATTAAAGGGTTTATTGCTCATTAATTGTTAATCTGTCAATCATAAATTCTAACAATTGGTCAGAGCATGTTACTTTATGATTAAATAACATGAACCCAATTTGGGATTTTTTAATTGATTATGAATTATACATTAATTCTTCAGTTTGAAAAGAAAAAGGAAAATTAAAACCCAATGAAGAATTTCGTTTTATGAATATGCTAATTACAATGTTACAAATTCCCTTTCCCTTTTCTGGTTGCCTTCTTTGTTCTCTGTGCCGCCATAGAGGAATCACCTCCAAAGGTTTCTTTTTCCCTTTGCTTCTAAACATTGCTTCCATGGAGGATCTGCTTCCTTTCGTTCATATCTTTGATGGAGTTCTCGATAGTGCAACAAAGATCATCGGAGACGCGTGTTGGTTTCTCACTAATGAAGGTGCGAAAGCTTCTTTTATGGTGGGTGGTGTTAACTCTCGGCAAGTGTACCGAATCGTATCAAGTAATAATAAAATGGTAAGACCAAGTATCGTTTCCCAAAGGACTCACGACCTAAACAGTTATGTGATTTGTTAATTAAATTAGACTTGCAAACGAAAACATTATTGTTGAATTGTGAAAAATAAACATGAATGCAAAGTTTTGATCAATGTAATAGAAAGATGCAAAAAATGGCTGATGTAGAATATAAATGATTATGTTGTTGGGGTTTCCGATTCTCCTATCCACTCTCATGTATTCAAGAATTCATCTTTCTTCATTAATGTTAATGCCACTTTCTAATACCTTAAACCGATGTCTCGGTGAAAGAAAGCCTACTCCTAATCACTAGTTTACAATGTCTTGTCTCCCTAGCAATTATTCATGCATTACATTCGCACAGAAGCTTAAAGGCAATCAATCCTCCTATCCCTATGTTAGGCAATATTGCTCTTGGGAGAATTCTTCAGTTCTAGATTTACTTATATGTGTCCATACAAATACATCAATGATCATGCAATTGAATGAGTAAGCAAAGCATGCATAGAGTATAGAAGAAAAACCCTAACAATTAATGAAGAAAGAAAGCATATAGAATATAGAACCAATTCAATACAGAGAGTTTCAAAGGATTACATCGGTTCCCAAACAACAATGAAAGTTTTTTAGTTCACCAATAAACATGGGTGAAACTAGGTAAAAAACAAAATGAAAGAATGAAAGAATAGAAACCCTAGATGTTGAAGAATAGAGCTTGAGCATCCAAAATCCTCCTCCAAGGGGTGAAGAAAGTGTGATTTCGCCTCTTTCTGTCCAAAGATGATTAACTCAGGTCGACTAAAACCTTATATAGTTTATTAAAAATTACAGAAAATAGGCCCAAGCCCAATTAAATGGCGCTTAGCGGTAAGTGCAGTAACTTAAGAATGACGCTCAGCGGCAGTTTTGGCAAGCGTGAGACAGCAAATATTGGCGCTCAGCGCAACTTTTTTTGCACTCTGGTTGACTGGTTGGTTTTTCTGGATTCTGGTTGACTTTTCTGCACTTTAGTTGACTTTTCTGCATTCTGGTTGACTTTTCTGCATCCCAACCATTCGATACTTTAACTCTTCTTTCAAATCATTCCAATAGCCTACAAAATCAAGGGAATCTAGCACAAAACCATTAAATTCACCTTCAACTCTCTTATTCACAAAATTAAAGCAAAAACATGAATTAAAGCAAGTTTCTAAATCAAAAAGGGTTGATTTATTATCAAAATTAAGTATAAAAATAACGGTATTTCAACTGTTATCAGGTGGCGCTTGCGACGGTGGCGCCTTTGTAGTGAATTGCGTTCGCACAACAACAACGACTTGCTTTGCCTTCCATGACTGTTGTGTTTCTGGTTTTCTTCAAGTTTGCATGCTTCGTTGTGTCTCTTCTCTGCCTTCATCTTGAGCTCGTAGCGTTGCGTTTGTAGTCATTCGGTATGGTGCAGCAGCAAAGCGCAACCCATTGGGGGTTCGTGTTCGTGTTAAGACCTCGACAAGTGTACTAAATCGTATCATTGTAATAATAAATGGTAAGGACCAAATATCGTTTTCCCAAGAGATCACGACACTAAACAATTGTATAATTACTTAACTAATTAGACGAAAAAATTATATTTTTGGTTTTCAAATGCAAATGCAACAAAAGTAATATAAATGAAAATTAATCAATTGAGGCTAAACACTAAATGAATGGATGAAGTTGATAATATGAGATGATAATGTTGTTGGGGTTTAGATTTCACCTAATCACTCTCATGCATATAAGAATTTTTCTTCTTATTAAATGTCAATGTCACTTTCTAAATTACTTAGAACCCGATGTCTCGGCAAAAGAAGCTTATCCTCAATTACTAGAACACAATGTCTTGCATCCCTAATAATTAATTCTGGATTACGATGGAAGCTTAAGACAACCAAGCGTTCCATCCCTAGTCTAAGCAATAGTTCCTTGGGAGAAAGTGCCCCCACCAATACATTGTGTAAGGATAACTGTTGATACTCAGACAAATAATTATCATGTCGTGAATGAGTTAAACATAACAAGCATTGAGCAAAGAAGAATAACCCTAACAATTAATGAAAGAAGCATATATAAATAAGAATCAATTCAAATATATGAGAGTTTAGAGGTTACATCTTCCCCAACAACAAATGAATTTAGATCTCCATTATCATGGAGAAACTAGATCAACAATGGAATGAAAGAGATAGAAAAACCCTAGAAACTGAAAAGGAGAGCTCCCACATCCCCAATCTGCCTCCAAGGTGCGAAAAGTGTGTTTCTATGCTCAAGTCATCAAGAGATACCAACCCTAGGTCGTACAAATCCTTAAATAGATCAAAACTTGGATCATGGGCCAACATCGCTGGCGCTCAACGCCCAAAGTGGGGGCAACCGGGCAAAACTGCGAGAGAAATGGCGCTCAGCGCCCCTGGAAGGGCGTCCAAGCACTGTGCGATACATGAAACTGGCGCTCAGGGCCCCTGGCTGGCGCTCAGGGACCAAGAGGGGGCTCTCAGCTTCAGCTTGACTTTTCTGTACTACGTCTTTTTTCTTTTTCTGTATTTCAACTCCTTAGTACTTTAACTCCTCTTTCAAATTATTTCAACAACCTACAAAATCAAGGGAATTTCGTGATGAAATGATCAAGTATACCCTCTACTCACTTATTCACAAAACTAAACTAAAAACATGAGTTCAAGCAAGCTTCTAAGTAAAAAAGAGTTGATTTAGTATCAAAATTGCATGACAGATAATAGTATTTTCAACTATTATCACACGCCACAAAGGCGACCCGCAGTGACAATGATGACGGCGAGATCCTTTGGAGCTTATGATAGTGGTGGCGTGTTTGCTGTTTTTGTCTCGCGTCATAACAGTGACGACTTTTTCTTTTTTGTTTTGTTTTCCTGCATGTTTAACTACAAGAAAAATTGCGTTTACATACAGATTATACATAAGGATTTAGATCCGTATGTAATGGGCAAGCTACATACGAATATTATATACGGATCCATTACATACAGATTTTTCCGTATGTAATGAGGAAAAAGATTGCATACGGATAATCCATATGTAAAATCTGTATATAACTTGGCGCGCTTTGGGTGGAACTTTTGGAGAATATATCCGTATGTAAAATCCATATATAAGTGGAAAAATAGTTATATACAGATTTTACATACGGATTTATTATTAATTAATAAAAAAAAGTTAAGTTATTTAAAATGCAGATCTTAAAAGGTGGCGAACCCTATTTTCTTCTTCCTTACTCGCGCTGCAACCAATTCTCGTTTGGAAAAAATGTTGAGCCACTTAACCTCCTTTAATCCCACCAATAAACCTATTCTCTTTCTCTTTCAATTGCAACCCCTCCTGTGATTTAGTGGTTCTGGCCGTGGTTCTCTCTCGTCGAGCCTTCCTTCCACCTTTGTGGAGTCTTGGTCCTCTCTCGTTGAACTTTCGTAGGGCGCTCACTAGAACCATCGTTGTGCATCATTGGTATCGTGGTTAATTGGTAAGTAATGTTTAATTCTGTTTGAGCTAAATCTTTTATTTGCAAACCCTAATCCTCTTTTTTTTTTCTGTTGGCTCAAAATTGGTGTGTGATGTGATTCACGTATATGGGAGCCTTGTCATTTTCTTGGTGAAGCTCTTTAGTAGAAGACCTAAGAAGCGTTACAAATGAGAGCCTTTGAAGGAGGAAATTGAGTTGGGAAACTCTACCTATTCTATGGTTCTAGTTCAAGTCCCAATTTACAACGAAAAAGAGGTAGGACAACATATTTTCTTTGATTTTTTATTTTCCACATCTCTGTCTCGCATTTACATCTCACTTTTCCCCTTTCTAAATCTAATTTCTTTGTCTCCTTCTTGCATGCCGCCGTAGCTCGCTGGTCGCCGGTCACCGATTTTCGTGAGTTCCTCTTTCTCTGTTAATCAATTTGCCTATTTCATTTGGTTGTGTCTCAACAAATTTGTCACTCACACATTCTCGCGAAATTAAGTTCGCAACTGAGAGAGAGTAAGCATCTATGTCTTCCATGCCCTAATTTTGTGTCGTATCATACAATGATGGTGCAGATCGAGAAATTGAGAAGTTTAAATGGTTTTAATCATGGCAACGGTGACATACCCTCCACCGCCACCTTTTTACAGGCTTTACAAAGATTACTTGCAAGACCCTAAGTCTGCTCCCGAGCCTCCACCTAGTGCCGTCAAAATGGGTTGAAACCCGTGAGCCAACCCTGCTCACCACGAGTTTGAGCCGGGTTGGGTTGAAAAAAAATGTGAAAATTTTGATGCTAGCCAATTTTGACCTGGCTCACTAAGAACCCGGCTCACCCGGGTTCAACCCGTGGTGAGCCAGGTTGGCTCATCAACCCACCTATTTTTTTTTATTGAAATCAAATTAATTAAATTAATTATTCAAATCCTATTTTTTTTATTGAAATCAAATTAATTAAATTAATTATTCAAAACGCACAACCTTTACTTGTAGTAGAGCTTTTCGGGCTGCGTTGTGCTGTTGTCCTGTTCCAAAATTTCCCATTCAACATATATTTTTGTTAACGGTATATGTAGTTTCTTGGTCAAACGGTTGTGTATGTCTCATTAAACTAAATTGGCAAATTTTATGCTGATAGCTTATAGAATATATAACAATAAGGTTTTTTGTTTCGGTTTTTTTAATCAATTGGTCCAATGATTACTGTTTGAATTTGATCGATCAAAGTAACATGTTATAAGAATATCAGAAGAAGAGGGTGAAAAAAGTAAGTGAGCCAATGAGCCAATCGTTTAAACCCACAACCCATGGTGGGTCGGTGCGGTTCAGATTTTTTCGGCTCGCTAATAAATGAGCCGGGTTGGGTTGGTCTCACTAAGTTGGCAACCCGTGGTGGCTCGGGTTGGGTCGGGCCGGGTTACCTGTTTTGACAGCTCTACCTCCACCGCCTATTGAAGGGAACTACGTTTGTTTTGGAGGCAATTACACGGTAACCATTTTTTTTCTTTCTGATGCCTTTTCAGGATATAATATTACAATGAACTTTTGTTGTTGCAATTGCAGTGGCGTTGGTATACTAAGAACTTTCTTGGTCAAAATGTATTCAGATTAGTTGAAAGCTTTTCTGGATGCTTGTTTTCACTAGCATCGATTTTTGGCTTGTGAAAAGAAACCTGAAACAGCTTATGTCGGAGTCAGTTGGTTTGTTTATTGAATTCTTAGAGATTGGTAAAATAGCTTAAACTTATTGATTTCAGCTGTTAGACAATTGTTGTTGTGTTTGGGATCATTCGCTGAAATCTAGAAAAAAACAAGGCTTTTTGTAAAAAAAAAAAAGTAAGCTGGCTTTATGTATCTGGACATTTGTAGTTTATGATAATTTCCCACCCTCAAACATGTTATCTCTAATCAAATTTTTCAATCACTTTTTTTATTCTCGTTCAGCTTTATACATATCCTCTCTCTTTTATTTTTTAATTAATATGTATCGAAATAAAATTAATTATTTAGAAATATATTCTCTGCACACTTATCCAAATATAAACTATTTTGATTATGATCACAAAGTCCTTTGTTTATCTATTTGTACTTTTATGTAGGATCTCTATTCATGATAACGTATTAAAATTATAGTTATTTGTTTATTTTCTCGTAGACTATGATGTTCTAACAAGCTTGGAAGAACAAGGGGTTGCGCCAGCTTATTCTAGGGGCCTAATGTTGGTTAGGCCATTTTTATCCCTATTCATGCACAATTTGATATGATAATGTTTTGCAATGACCACAAGTTGCTACAAATAGTTTTGGGCTTTATATGTACAAGGTGCGTCAGCTCTCTTCCAACATTTTAATGTACCAATTTTTCCAAATGTTGATTGACTTTTACAATATTCAACAACAATTTCTATGTTTATGACTTCTAAACTTATGTTTATTTAACAAATTTCCAAGTAAAATTTAGGATATAAACTCATAACATACTCGTAAGATAATACATTTATTTATTTAGAGAATGAAAATATTTAGTTAACTAACATAGTTATTATAATTAAATCTGATCAAGTTTTACAACTTCTATTTTTCTTAGTTCAAATTTTCATGCTGGATTAAACTTGATTAAATTTTTCTTTGTCATTGTAGGTTGGAAAAGATTTCGAATGATCTTATAAAAAAAAGTAGAAGGGGGTCACACAAACATTGAAGATGTCTTAAATTTTTTAATTGGCAAGATGATGAACTCTCGACGAATATAGGATTAATATGTTTGGCATCTTAGGAATCATATAATTTATTAATGAATATAGACATTTTGTAAATTTATTTGTTATAGTAATATATATACTTTTTAAATGTAAAATGCTTGTTATTGTGTTCAATGATATTGTGACTGATTGTGTGTATATCATAGGTCTATGACTAATATATATGTGCAATGCAGAATTTTCAATAAATTGTTAGCATGTTATCACCCGATTTTTTTTATGTAATTACATATGGATTTTTCCGTATAACAGATTTTTCCATATGTAATTACATACAGATTTTTCTGTATGTAATTACATACAAATTTTTTTCGTATGTAACTTACATTCGAAAAAATCCGTATGTAAATTACATAAAAAAAAAATTGTATATAAATTATATACGAAAAAATTCGTATGTAACTTAGCTATGACTGTTTTATATACGGATTGTTAGCCGTATATAATCCGTAGATAACATTGTATTACATATCAATTTTGAATCTTACATACAGATTTTGTCCGTAGATAATAGCATTTTTTCTTATAGGTTGAAGACCTAGTTTGATGCCAGTGATGGACAAATTTGTAAGCACCAAAATATGATGTCACAAACTTGTTTCACAATCGGCAAGTATGACCGAATCGTTCAAGTATAAAACTTGGTAAGACAAGTATCGTTCTTCCAAAGGCTCAGCCTAGTTTAGTTATGTGGTTTGCTTGATTAATAAGGACTTACAAACGAAATATTGAGTTAAAATGCAAGACAGAATAAAAAACATGTATGGCATGAATTTGATCAATGTGCAAAGACAAAGATCAACACTTTTTCAATGGAATATATGAATGGAATATGTTGTTGGGGGGTCAATTTATCTCATCACTCTCATATTATTTTTAGAATTCAACATTCAAATCATTCATTGTTATGCCCACTTCTAATGTACCATTCTAGAGGCTTTCCATAATCAAATAGTTCATTACAATCCTAGCATTCCTAATGATGTTATGAGTGCAGGAGCCTTAAAGGCAAAACAATAGAATATTTGTCAGTATAATATGGGAGAAATTCCACGGATTCTAGACTTCCCCATACGTGTCCGTATCGACCCCCCCAAAACCCACCCCCCAATAATCAGGCATAGAATGATTATAACAATGCAAAGCATTGGGGCAAAGAGGAAAAACCCTAACTAATGAATGAAAGAAAGCATATGTAATCAAAGATTACTCAAAGATTTCCATATATGAGAGCTCTTCACAGAGTTACATTGCATTCCCCAACAAACATACACAGGTTTAGTCACCATATTCATGGTGAACCTAGATGGAATAACAATGAAAGTATGAAAGAATAAACCCAATAAAGTGGAAGAGGTAGCCTGAGCATCCAAGATCCTCCTTCAAAGGGGTGAAAGAGAGAGTGTTTGCCTCGTTCTGCCAAAGATGGCCTACTATAGGACGTGCAAGCCTTATATATAATCTAGAGTACACAAAGATTACAAAGTCCAAAGGCCCAAAAAGTGACGCTCAAGCGTTATTACCGCGCCTCAAAAACAGGCGGTGATTGCGCGTCTTCTCTTCCCCTCAGCGGCCATTTTGCCCCTCAGCGGTTCCAACGTCACCTCTTGAGTGCGCTCAGGCGGTAGTTTGCCGATGAGCGGTGCCTTCGGACTTCTACTTTTTGCACTCTTTCTTGTCTTTTCTAATGTCCTCTCTCTCATTCTTCAATTCTTTCACCAAATTCACCTCAAAACCTGCACAAAAACACTTATATCAAGCATAAACCTGTCCAGCTCTCTTATTTCTGAAAATATAAACAAAAGGCATGATTTCAAGCTAGTTTCTAAGTCTAAAGGTTGCTTTTAGTATCAATTTTAAGCATGAAAATAACAGTTTTTCAACTGTTATCAGCCAGCGAGATGCGTAAAGTCATTCTGCGATTCTGTTTCACGATTTAGAGGGGCTCGCGGTGGTGGAGATCTATTTAACGTAGTGGTGCTCCCTGGATCTCGTTCACGTCTCAAATTTGGTCTTCTCTTGCTTCTGGTTGGCGCGATGGTGCTCGCGCTTGGCCACGGTGTGGTTTCTCTTCTGATTAGGTTCTTTCGTAGAGGGGTTTCGATGGTGCTTCTACGGCGGCAGATCTTGTTGCAACGCTCTCTAGACCATAGAGTATGTTGTGCCAATGGAACTACAAGAAAAAATTGAATTACATACAACCATAATACGTATAATAAGGTCCAAAATCTGTATATAACACTTGATTACATACGGCTTACATACGGAAAAAAAATCTGTATATAAAACTATCGTAGCTATGTTATATACGGATTTATCCGTATATAAGTTATATACGAATTTATCCGTATATAATATCCGTATGTAATATATCAAAAAAATAATTTTTTTACATACGGATAAATCCGTATGTAACATACAATATAGAAAAAAATAATTTTATTTGTAAAAAATAGAAAGCTTTCAAACAAACAAAGAAACTTACAAATACAATTTTATATAATGTTATTGCTATTAGTTTCAACTTTCATCAAATGTAAAGAATTTATAATATATAATTATGCTTAAAACAAATAATTAAAACATAAAATTTTTATTGAAAGACTCTATAAACAGAGTTCAAAACAAATCGGCCCTTGTATAATATAGAGTTTAATATTAACTAAACTATAATTTACACCTAAAATATAATTAAGCTTTATTCAGAAAGAAACTCTGAAACAATTGTTGCTAGCTCTGCAATTGCTACACAAAATTATTGGGTGGAAGACCTTCTTCATGCTTGATGGAATCTGAAAACAAAGGGAGGAGATAAGAAATGACATAACTATAGTAGACTTCAATTGTCGATCATTGGTGTTTAGATTGTTGATTGCTGGACAACACAATTAATAACACATGTATATTATGTGTTACATGTTCCATGTTTACATGTTATATGCTTTTCTTTAATGTGTTTAATCTGTTAAAGCATATCTGAGAACATGTTTGAGCATGATTGTGTTGTTCATTGCATATCACTGTGTTACATATGCATTCCAAACGAGAAATGGTTGCAGCGCGAGTAAGAAAGAAAAAAATAGGGCTCGCAACTTTTTCTATATGCATTCTAAATAACTTAATTTTATTTATTTATTAATTAATTATAAATCCATATATAAAATATGTATGTCACTATTTTTTCACTTATATACAGATTTTACATACAAATATATCTTTCGAAAAGTTCCCGCCAAAGCGCGTGAAGTTACATACGGATTTTACATACGGATTATCCGTATGTAACCTTTTTTTCTTACTATATACGGAAAAATTCGTATGTAACGAATCTGTATATAATATCCGTATGTAACATTCTCATTATATATGAATTTAAATCAGTATATAATAATCCGTATATAAAACACAATTTTCTTGTAGTGTGGCAAATCATGTGTGGGAAGTGGCCCAGGCCCAATCTGGGGCAGGCCCATTCTGGCGTAGATTGCATATCCAATTTTGGGTCATTGGATTTAGTTTAAGATCTAAGAGGATGTGTTTTGAACTAATATGAATTTTTATTTAAAATTAAAATTCTAAAATAAAATAAAATAAATTATTAATTAAGAATAAATAAAAGTAAAATTAATAATTAATTAGTAATAAATAAAATTCAATTTTGGTTTTGTTTGTAATTTTTTAAATGAGCTATTGATAATTATGAAATCACCAAAGTCAGTCTTTTTTATCTAGAGTAGTTCATAGAGAACTTATAAATGTTCGTGTTTATGCATGTCCATGTGAGTATTGGTCAGCCCAAAGGAAGGTTAATATTTGATCAGATTATATAGCACCTGTGATGGTAACATGTGATAATTATAAGGTCTTTTACGTGTTAATAATAAGATCAATCCAAAGATAGGTTTGTTATTGGACATGTCCTTATTATCAGTGTTGATCATTACACCAAGATACCTCTAGTAGTTAATATTACTATCCAAAGACTTGATATTGATGGGGCATTGGGTGTCTTGAGATGGGATAGACTATTACTTGAATTATATTTATATAATTATTAATTTTATAGTGTGAGTTTAATTCCTTTGTTTCTCTTGTATAAAAAATAGTTATGATGGCTTCTATATCTGCCAACTTAAATTTAGTTCCGATCCTCAACGGTACAAATTTTAAGGATTGGAAAGACAACATAGAGACAATTCTCAATTGCATGGATCTCGACCTCGCGTTAAGGATTGAGAACCTCCTTCTCTTAAGGACTCAAGTACCTCTAACGAGAGGAGAGAATATGAGAAGTGGGATCGCTCAAATCGCATGTGATTGATGGTAAATAAGCACGACATTCCAGAGGTCTATAGAGGTACGTACTATATCTGAAGAAATTACAAGTGTTAAAGATTTCCTTGTTGAGATTGGAAAACACTTTGTGAAAAGCGAAAAGGCATAAGCAAGTGCACTTCTTCAAAGCTTGGCTTCCATGAGGTATCAAGGTAATGAAAATGTGAGAAAGTACATTATTGAAATGTCAAATATTACTTCAAA